AAAAAAAAAAAAAAAAACCTTACACAATTTTGCAAGTTTCATATTAAAATTAAAATTCTCACTAACAAAATTCAAAATATAGCAAAATAAACCAGATCTATTCTTCGAATCACAAGCAAAATAAAATAAAATCATTCCAAATTAAGGAGATGAAGTTTTTCATGTGTGGGCAAAAGTTGAGCTCTACAATAGGGACATGTTTTCTTCCTCATCAACCACTTCTTGATACATTCAACATGAAATTCATGGCCACATTGAAGTGTACCAATAGTATCTTCATCATTATATTCAATTAAGCAAATAGCACATGCTTCTTGTTCTTCAACAATAACAACATCATCACCATTTATATCCGTAGTTGTGTTGGGAAAACACGGACAAGCACAAAAATATATATGGTAAAAGTAATGGAAATAAAATGGGAAATAATGACACCAAGAATTTTACGTGGAAACCCTTCTAAATAAGGGAAAAACCACGGGCCAAGAGGAGCAACTGATATTACTATAGTAAGGAATTTTACACTGTAATCACGAGTACAATACTCAAAATGACTACTACACACTCAAAAGGAATAACACTCTTTTGGTTTCCACCTTACTAAAATATCGCTCACACTCTATTTTTCTTCACAGACTATTTTTCTTGTATAGCCTATGGAAACCTCACAGCTCTCTAAATATTTTACTCTCTCTGTGAATTGGTGTATCAAATGAGGAGCTGAAGAGCTCCTTTTATAGAAGAAATCAACAGCACAGTTTCAACATCCACCGATATGGTTCTCAACATTTGCTGCCAACCATTGACAATTGCATGCAACAATTGTTGAATAACAATAATTGAATAATGGCAGCAAATGTTGAATAAACCAACAATTTGACTAATGGGGATGGACCCCACACTCTATTGAATAGACAGTTGCTTCAATGTGGTCTGACAGCAAAGTGTAAGTGAATAAAAATAATTTTGCAGTTTTGTTATCACTGACTGACTGTAAACATTATGTTTGTACTTTGAACTGTTTAAACATAAATCTGTGTGATCATTACAAATGAGGTATGTGTGATCATTACAAATGAGGTATCGCTTTGATATTAATGACATTTAATATATTTTTCAGAATATAAATTATGTCGTTCTTATCATCAAACACATAGCTTTATTTTTATGCTCCATAGAGAATATAAATTTTAGAAAAGATAATCACGGAAAACGATCAGAAGTTTTAGGAAATAGGTAAACTTCCATTGTCAGAATTAGATGTTATAGAGTTGCAGCTAATTGTTGTGTGTTATATAATTCTTGGATGGCATGTATTGGATTGGTTTCTCATTTCTTATTGCGCGTGTCTTGGATCTTTCAAGGTTCTCATTTCTTATTGATTTATGGTCTTATCACATTTTAATTTCACATCTCAATTGCAAAAGACATCATACATAACTTGTGCAACCATGTTTAATCGAAAGTTTTTAGTTCTTCTAAGCATCAAACATCCCATGTCAAGTATGTAACTTTGCTTAACAGTAGAACGAAGATCTGCTTACTAAAGAAAATCTCTTTTAAATGAATCCATATATGAAGGATATATTGTATTTGTACTATCCTTCAGTGTTTGCACATATTTAGTTGTGCCACAACATGATGATGATAACTAAGGGTTGTCAATTGGTTGCTAAATTGAATATAAGGTGAGTTTTCTATTGAAGCATGTAGATTTTGTCACGCCCCGAGCCTACACCCTGGGCGGGACCGGCACTCGAAGACCATTGCTGGCCCCAAGCGAACCCTTGGCCTGCTTACTTAACTCAGCGGAAAACTTAACTCAACAGAATAACTCCATGCAATGAAAGGTCATAAAACAACCTAACTGATAAAATCTGACCCGACTCTGCAGTGCTCAACTGGATCAACGGCGTGCTGGATGATGATCCTGGGTACCTGCGTCTGCATCATAATAAGATGCAGACCAACTGGCATCAGTACATGGAATGTACGAGTATGCGAGCTGGACAACTAAACAACAACTTAAGCTTGAAAGGGATACAAAAGAGAACTTACCTTGGCTCTATTCAACTCATGAGTAACTGAACTCAATATAAAGCAATAAGACAAATGCAATATATAAAGCTTGTAAAACTATTTAAAACATGACGTCAAAAATCATATTTATAATATCATAAAAATACCATGCTCCCTCTCAAAGTCTACTTGTGCAATGCATGAATGAAGTCTCATACCCCCATCCATACTAAGCAGAACCCCTCGAGGAACCATGCAATTTCTACTGTGGGAGTTTCTCTAACCGACAACCACCATTCAGAGCCTAAGTGGTGATACATCGTTGTTACCATCACGCTGCCAGACTGTCCTATACTTTGCCGTCATATAGAACTACTTTAACTTCTACTTAGTGGATCCACTAGCTTAACTTACGTGATCATCTAAAAAGTATGACCCGTTAAATCTTATGTTGGCTACATGGTTCTTATGGAGGGTTGAGTTAATATGAACTCGCATCCCCATTTCGATGCTCAAGACTACTCCCAAAATATACTTTAGCTCATATATTTAAAAAAACAAACTTCTTTCTCTAGTTTGAATTAATTGCTCAAACTACCCTCTTAAAAGAGGTAATTGCTCTTGAAAACTCTTTCTAAAAAAAACAT